ATAAAGGAAACAAAATACGTGAGGCATTGGGTAAAAACACCCGAAAATTAATTTTTCCGGGCTTGTTTTTTTTTTTACCATTGCTTGGGTCACCATCTTCACCAACAGTGGTCTAGAACTCTTGGAAATTAATTTTTCCGGAATGACCACCACTGTTTGGGCTCTTGGGAATTTTCTTGGAATATCTTCCACCACTACTTGGAATCTCGCTATTGCTGCTCCAGTGCCTCTCCATTCTCACTGTACTTGGTGATGAAGAAGAAATGAGATCGAAAGGCTCTGGAATTGGAAGGCTCATGCTCTGCTTTTGGTGTATTCCAGGAGCTTGCCGTGCATTATAGAACCGTCGCCGGAGGACCAATTGTTTGAACCAACCGCCGACGAGCTTGTCAGAGGAGAAAGCTTGCTAAGGCTTCGCTGTGTTCGTCGACAGAGGTATGGCGAGAGCCTTTGCTTTAATTTATCCCTTGCTTTGCATTTAAATAGAGAACACATAGAGCCATGCGCCATTACTCTTCCCCATGTCTGCTTGCGTGTGGGTATAGGTTTCTTGAGGGCAACTTTGAACTACAATCCACAGTTCTATTTGCTTTGTCTTTTCCCATCCCATCACACTTTGCTTTGTCACTTTTCCCATCACACTTTCCCATCGGCCCTTTTTTATCTATTTCGCATGTGTTAGCGTATATACACGCGTCCATCTTCTGCTTCATGACTGCGTGAATGTACACATACGTATATAATAACATGTGTGTAATGCACTAACATTGTTTGTGCCGTGCGTATAACATACATAACATATATTTGCTTTTCGTAATATATTTTTGTTTTGCTTTCCATAATCCTCTCCTGCCAGCGTGAACATAGCCCTTTTGAGACTCCACTGTGCTTAGCTTGTGTTATTGTGTATATATAATACACTTAACCCATGTGGGCCACTGGTTTATAAGTAATATACATATATATGTTTACCTTGCATGCACTATATAGTGTAGGTACATATATATATAACATAGATGTGGCTCACTGACCCATGCATAATTTATATATAATATATTTGATGCATATGTTGTATGAGTATATGCACACATGCATATAATTCATATGATACGCATACAATACGTATGATATATATATATACGTAGTATGTGCATACATATATAATATGGCTTCCTTTTTCCTTTTTTTTTAACACTCCCCCTTGACGTGAATTCATATATATACATGTGTAACATATATATATGTTTCGCATTAAACCTTGCAAATCCGAGATATGTATGTACATAATATATTTTAGTAACGTACGTGCCCATATGCGCCCAATCCATGCTTGCTTCTTATACTTTGTGTGTACCACGTACATAATATATACGGAGTATATAATATATATACACATAGCATAATTGATGTTTGCTTGTGACTGCACATATATAACTTGTGTAGCATAGGCATTTTGCGACAATATATTTTTTGCATCGACCTCAAAATTGTCTTATACTTTTGGACTTGGCCTCTTGGTTCATAATGCAGATTCATACATCGCAAACTATTTTGAACAATGGTAGTGTTTGAGGACACCGTGGGAGCCGATCAGAAGAGGAGGCTCAAAGTATCAAGCGATGAGACCGGAAGAAAAAGCATGTTGTTCATCGTTTACCCACCAATGACGCCAAGAACCCTCCTTGCCCCGACACTGCCTTATCGGGTGGAGGAATGGACTCGTAACGCCGAACACCAGCCACCCAAAACATGGGTTCTAAAAACCGGGCTAGGTCATACGGAATACTTAGACCCACTCCCGACTCTAGGGCGACAGATCCTTAGGGGTGAGGCCTCATGGAACCAACATCCCAGCTTCAGAGGAGAGTTCAGCTTTACGATGGGATATTGGGAATGGACTGAGACTATACTCAGTATGCACCGTGAACTCCTGGAGGCCGTGACGATCTACGACGGCATATACGCCTCGTTGTTCACCTATGACCGCTCGACGCATATTGTCCAAGCGTTCTGCGAAGCGTGGAGCCCTATGACCAATACACTGCTTACATCACTTGGTGAGCTCTCAATCTCACTTTGGGATGTGCATGTGCTCTGCGGCCTGCTGATATCTGGCGACATCTATGATGAGTATGTCCCAACCGCCTCAGAGTTAACGGGGGAAGACGCCAACCCTGACTCTACTCCTCCAAGTTGTAAATACTTGTTCCAAGCATATTGTTACATTAGTGACCGAAGCAGGCAACGAGGGACTCGTCGCGAAAAAAACAGTAATGACCGTTCCGTTCCCATTGTTGACTGGATAGCATTTTGGAGTAGAAGACCGCCAGTCTACGACAGACCAACGCCAAGGAAAGAAGACAAGAAGAAAACTCGCCCAAGGAACACCCAAAATCCAAAAGGCAAGATCCCAGCATTCAAGGGATGGACTAAGACGACCAAAGCACCCTTTGCCGAGCTCGGAATTCCCCCTGAACATGAAAATGAAACTCACTTAGCGGTATACTTGAGTTGCTGGTTATGCGTATTCGTGCTCCCCATCAAAATGACGAGAGTCATTCGCTTCCAGACATTCAAAATGGCTTGCTTAATGGCGACAGGCAGAACGTTGAACCTTGGGATCCCCGTGCTTGCGAGCATCTACACTGGACTGAACGTGATATCCCAATCTAATACCCCGGGGCTAACCGATAGCCGCTTCCCCATCCACTATGTATACGGATGGTTGTCACTTTATTTTGACACCCATTTCGCAAAAGACCACACGTCAGCTTCCCCGTTGATGATCGCCTACTCGGGGAGGGTGGTGCGAGATATTACGGACCGATAGAGGCTCGTCGCAAGATTTTCAAAGCTGACAGTGCCAACTGGCTTTGCACGACACGCCACTTAACTAAGGATCTTCACTTCCTTGACGATGGGAATGCCCACGACACCGACGACGAGTACTTCATGTGCCTCCGCTCTAACCACCTCGTATTACGATGGACAGATGCATGTGTCGCCGAACCTTACACTCCCCATCGATTTAGCCGACAATTTGGGTACTATCAGGATGGTGGTTCAGGCATATTGGGCCATGACGAACGCGAATTCACACTTTCGGAGGGCTTCCAGCGTTGGCGCCATTTTACACTTAGGGGCTCAGGGTCGCGGGTGACATTTCCCGCGACTCGAGTCCCTGTCACTATGAAGAAATACTTCTCGCGGAGTTACAAGGAATGGTGGGCGCAAGTCCATGGGGACTATCTTGAGCGCTGTATCAACGACTTAGTTCCTGAGTACCCAGCCGACGTGCAGCATGAAGTCGGTACTTCCAAGAAAGCCCAACGTCCGGTCCAAGAAAGTGAACCACCGCCCAAAAAAGAAAGGAAAACACCATTCCACAAAAGGAAACCGAGGCGATACGACAGGACTCGGATGATGAAGGAAGCCATGACCGTTACTGGAAACGGCGACGAGACAGACGTTCACCTTCCCCAGTGGAGGTAAATCATTGTTCTCGCTTATCCCAATGATTGCTGGTAGCACTTAATTTACCCTCTTTTACTTCTTGACAGGAAAATGTGGCGATACCTGCTAGTGGAGGGGCTGAGTCATCAAATAAAAGGGTGGCAGCCAGCAACACTGGAGAAAGTGGACATTCAAACAATGCCTCAGCATCAAGCACGCACCAATCGGGGAATTCCCTCGACGAGCCACGCGTAGGTCAGCAAGATAGACCTGAGGTCTCTGTCTTTGATGGGAAAGACCTCGTACTAGAAGAATTTAAGGTGGTTGTCATAAATGTCTGGAACAAGCTTCGCAAAAAAGTTGGACGACACCTCGGTAGAACAGATTTCATCTTTGCAAGAGAGCTTTTTGAATGCTTTTGCAAATCTGCGGAAGTTAGACATTGATATCTCTCCCTTGGAAACACGGTTGCAGACATTTTCACGAAAGCTCAAGCCTTTGATAACTTAAGGTCCACAATTTCTGACAAAACGTCGAGCGAGTCTCAGTCTTTATCCCTGGCGAAGGATGCGCTTAAGAATGCACAAGACGAGTTTAGGAAACTCAAGAAAGATCTATTGGGCCAACATAAGATGCTTAAGGCCACAAAAGATCGGGAAGAGGAGTTGGAGAAAGAACTGAAGCTAGTTCGTGCCAAGGCAGAGGAATGCGACACTGCGATTGCCAAAATTACAGATGACCTGGGCAATGCTAAGACTGCCGTTTCGGAGCTGGGGCAGAGGTCACCCGCATTAAGGACCTGACTGTACTGACGCCAGAAGATGAAACGAGCTTAAAGGAGCAAAGAGAGGCTTAGAAGCGTGCAAAGACGATATGCTTAGCTTTAGGCTTTTTTATTGACTGATACTCTTTGTCATTTAGTTTCTCTTTTGATTGCAAGAACTTTTGTTGTTCGTTTCTAACTTTTGATAATTGAATGCTTCTCATTTATGTGCCGGTCCTTTAGCGATAATTCATACAAACTTTTCTTTTACCCGTTGAAGGATTGTCTCCACTCTTGCAACATGAATTGGATTTGATTTTGTTATGACTGAACTTAGATAATTTGATTCTAAGCTGCCTACATACTCCTATCAAGGAGATCAAGTCAAACGTAGTTCAAATGATTTTTTTTCACAAAGTAGAGCCGTTCACAGTTTAGACTCATGCAGGCCAGGAGCGTCTATGATTTGGGCCCACCCATAGACAAAGCGAGATGCATTAGCAGTTTAACCACGTGCTGCATTTTTGGTGGATGAGTCATTCATCAGATCTTCATGACTTGTGTTGACACCCCAAGTTTAAGGGTGGTAAAGCTTTAGGAACCTTCCATTAATTGGACCGATCTTCAAACCATCTTCACTAATTAGCTTGTAAGCCCCCTGTGTAAACTTCCAAAATCACGTAGGGACCATCCCACCTTGAAGTGAACTTGTGGCCAGTTTTTTTCGTGATGATGGGCCTGCGAACAGCTAGGACTTTGTCCCCAATTTGAAAGGAACGGGTCCTTACCCTTTTGTTAAAAGCTCTAGACATACGAGCTTGATAGCACTCCAAGCTTTGTTGCGCTTGCAGCCGTTTTCATCCAAGGCTTCTAGCTCGGCCAAGCGTAGTTTAGCATTTTCTTCATCAGTAAGACCCTCCTGTATGGCCAACCTCAAGGAAGGTATTTGGCGCTCTAGAGGCAAGACCGCTTCTACACCATACACCAAAGAATATGGAGTGCTTTGAGTAGGTGTGCGGTATATGTGTTCTATACGCCCACAAAGCTTCTTCCATCTGTCATGCCAGTCCTTTTCGATTTTGAGACCACTTTCTTCAACAAATTGCATAGGGTTTTGTTAAAAGCTTCAGCAAGCCCATTTGCAGCTGCATAGTAAGCTGATGAGTTTCGCTGCTTAAAGTCAAAAAGCTTGCAGATCTTGTCCATCAAGCTTGTTGTCAAAGGGCTTCCCGTTATCTGTTAAGATATATCGCGGGATACCAAATCGATAGACGATGTGGACACGGAGAAAGTCTGCAACATTTTCTTTCTCACCTCCTTCAATGCCACGGCTTCCGCCCACTTTGAAAAGTAATCGTGGCAGCTAATATGTAGGCATGCCCTGCAGATGACTTAGGCGTAATTGGGCCAACCACATCAAGTCCCCAAGCATCAAATGGCCAAGATGCAACTGTTGGGTGTAGAGGTTTTGGTGGCTGATGAATAAAGTTTGCATGATATTGACAAGCTTGGCACCTTCGAGCATAGTCTATGCAATCCTTCACCATTGTAGGCCAATAATATCCCATTCGCTTAATGTGGAAATGTAACTTGGGACCGGATTGATGTGCACCGCAAACCCCAGAATGAGCTTCTTGCATAGCTTGTAGAGCTTCCTCTTCCCCTAGACATCGGAGAAATATTCCATCAAAGGAACGACGATACAATGTCTCTTTATAGTAGATAACGAGGAGTTCGACGCTTTATATCCACCCTTTTACGGGGATCTTCAGGTAACTTTCCATCAGTGAGGTAGTCAATTAACGGTTGCCTCCCAGTCGTCTTTGCCTATATCATACACTGAGGCAGTAGGGAGTTCAACGGTTTTCATCAACTGAGCCATCTTCGTTAAAGATTGGTGGAACCACCCACCTTGACATACTTGTATTCAGGCTGCAGGATGAGCAATAGTTGAAGCCAATGCGGCTAAGGCGTCAGCTTGCTTGTTTCTTTCCTCGGTACATGTTCAATTGTGACGTCCCCTAACCATTGCATGAGTATCTTTGCATAGCTGTTATATGGGACTAACTCCGCCTTTTTCACTTCATATAGACCCAACACTTGGTTTTATGATCAACTTGAATCTCCATAAATGTTAATTCTCAGTTGCTTCATGTCAGCCGCTATTTCGAGCCCAAGTATCAATGCTTGATACTCAGCAACGTTGTTTGAACATTGCTCGGTCAAGGTGAATGAATATGGCAACACCTCGCCTTCTGGAGTGACGAAGACAACTCCAGCGCCTGCCCCTTCTCTATGCGAAGCTCCATCAAAGTACATCTTCCATGGGGGTAGGACTTCAATGATAAGCACATCTTCATCAGGCAAATCGTCAGACAACTCCCATTCAGCAGTATTGGGTGATCTGCGAGGAAATCGGCCAAGGCTTGCCCCTTGACAGACTTTTGCGGCACATATATAATTTCAAACTGTTGAAACAATAAGTACCACCTTGCGAGGCGGTCGGAGAGAACGACCTTCGCCATAACATATTTCACCGGGTTCGCTTTGGAAACAAGCCGGATGGTATGAGCCTCGAAGTAGTGCTTAAGTTTTTTGATGGCGAATACCAATGCCAAACATAGCTTTTCAATCGGGGAGTACTTTAACTCGTTCGGGGTCATTCATTCTACTAAGATAGTAGAGAGCATTCTCCTTCCCCTTGTCATTTTCTTGAGCAAGCAAGGCGCCCACAGAACAATCTTGGGCGGAGATATAAAGGATCAGCGGGCGACCATGGGCAGGAGCGGTTAGCACAGGCGGCTTCATCAAGTATGACTTGATACTCTCAATGCGCTCTTGCATGCCTCGTCCCATATGAACGGATGCCCTTTTTCATCAACCGACTAAAAGGTTGACATCTTCCTGCTAGGTTTGATATGAACCTTCGGATGTAAGCCAACTTCCCTTGTAAGCTTTTAAGCTCATGAAGGTTTCTCGGCTCAGGCATCTTCATTATGGCGTCAATTTTGGCTTGTTCAATCTCGATGCCCCTGTGTCGAACAGTAAACCCGAGGAACTTTCCAGCAGCAACCCCGAAAGCACATTTCAGGGGGTTCATTTTCAGTTGAAACTTTCGTAGGCGGTCGAAGACTTGCCTTAAATGCGCCAAGTGATTTGTGCGCAATTTCGACTTCACAACCAGGTCGTCTACGTAGCATTCGACCATTTTATGGAGCATATCATCAAATATTGTCTGCATAGCCCTTTGGTATGTAGCACCTGCATTTTCAAACCAAAGGGCATTACTTTG